CCCTTGATGCTTGATCAAGAGGAATCTTTTATTGACCCTTAAAATAAACCCAGCATCAATGCTAAGAGGTTGAGATTTCCACCTATCTACCATTAGTATCCTGTTTGGTTTCTGTGCCTGAGTGGTTTCCCCAATTACCTCTGCAATACTGGACTTATGTTTAAGTACAAGCTGCCATAAATCTAGCATGACAATCATACTGTAAATCCCTATCAAAATAATTGCTATTTCTTTGCACTGATATGAGCAACCAGTATGGCTGCTTCCTTTTAAAACTCAGTGAGTAGAAGCATGCTCCAACTTCAATATATGGCTGCTTTTGTTTTGTGGCTTCCTGCTGCAATGTCTCTGTCCTTATGGTGTTGGTCAAGTGGAGGACATTGTTCATCCTCTTGCAGGCATGTTTCCAACTGTTAGTAGTCAGTTTGCTACTTTCCATCTGCTATCATCAAAGCTGCAGGTCCAGACAGGGTGTTGGGGAAAGTGGTTAAAAAACCTGTGCTAACCAATTAACAGGGGTCCTGACAAGGATTTTTAACATCTCCCTGCAACAGGCTAGAGTCCTAACATGCTTGAAAGCACCCATTGCACTGACGTCTATAGTGATGAAGTGATTTGAGAGACTGGTCCTACAACACCTCAGGTCCTGTCTTCCACCAAATTTTGATCAACACCAGTTTGCTTATAGAAGCAACAGGTCAANGTCACTTTTTTCAGTCTTCTTGTAATTTGAACAGCCACTAAATGAACTGTTATAAGTCAAGGATTACCTGTAAAAGGTAGCACAAAACAGGTTTGGCAGCACACTGTAGCAGTTCCGTAGATGGCTTCATTCAATACAGCAATCAAGTGTATTATAAAGAAAGGCTTAGTAGATCAGCTCTGATGTCAAGATAGACCGATTAACAAACATATTTATTGGGCCATATTACTCTTTCACTAGTAAGAGTATCAATTTTAGCAATTGATGCGATTACAGTAATAGAATTATCAACGCTTAGTTTGTGGAGAAACTAAACCTATACTTAATCAAAAAAATACCGTTAAGGAAAATTGAGGAGAAAAATGCCACCCATCAGGTCGCAATAAATGGAAAAGAGACTCATACAAGCAAGTTTACCCAATGCTTGATAGAATTAAGTGGCATGGTGGCTAGATTGGAAATAGTTTTCAGCATGTTGTCTGACACATGTTGATCCAACAATCTTCCTTGTCCATTTGATAAAATACTAACACAATGAACAATACTTTTACAGATTAAGTTGACTTCATTTACTGAATGAGGGGAAAGAGACACTGTTGTTCCCTGTAGTGATGTTATCCTTTAAAAGAATGAGCCACTAGAGGTGGGAGATTTACATTAAGATATGCTTTTGTGGCCATATCTGGATTTTCTCTTCTAGTCTCTGGTTTGGGCAGAGACTATGTACAAAAACTGCCTTTCCTCTCTGCTGTCTTTTCCCTAAAGCAGATAAATGCACATGTGGATTTGGTTGCGTAGCTGGTGGTTGCTTCCTTCTTTGTTGTTTAGGAAGATCAAGAAGGCACCATTAGGGAGACTTCTAACTTATCACATCTCTTCCCTTAAGAGAGTACAATTTGTCTATACAACATACAGTTGTATAGGTTTAGCAGGAATTTTTTAAAAAAATACTAGGGCATTTATGTTAAGCCAGCATCAAACAAACGCTATTAGGGTAGCATATTGTATAAATATAGTCTATAATTTAATTGGTTTATATTTCTGCTGTTAAAGAAACTTTGTTTTTCTTTAAACAAATCTCAGACTTCTCAAAGCCTAGGGAATTTTGGGCTGAGATTTAACTGAAGTAGATGCACACCCCTAATATATATATGCATCCATGCAAAATTTCCTTTATGGTTTGTTCCATTGTATATTCAAATGGAGCAAAATTAGACTACATACATGAAGAAAATGATAGCGTATTCAAAGACATTTTCAAGTCAATGTTAACAGCACAATCCTATGCTTTCTTT